AGATCTGGAAGAGTATTTCTAACAGAGACCGTTATCGAAATAACTGCAGTATCAGGATAGCAAAGCAGGACAAACCGAACGTAAAATGCAAGGGGAAGTTCCTTAATTTTATCAATGTTTAACACTTTATGATGGCTAACAAATGAATAAATGATATAAAACTGAAGTTTAATTCCTGCTAGAGGATTACCGGCTTTCTCTGATGTGACGATTCCGTTCAAAAATATGTTGATAAACCACTCTAGTGAGTATTGATACATGGGATCAATGCTTGCCAGATCAGCTACACAGAAGAAGAGGATCTGTGTTCGAACTGCCACTGGAATGTACTTGCTGCGAGTCTCGTCGATGTCCTTCTCCGTCTGATCGGCCACAATAACTTTAGCTTGAATCTCGTTTGACTTCTGTTTGGACGCCTCCAATGTCTGGATCAAATCGACATCATCAACTGGTGAACCTTCTGCAGCACTGAGACGCTGTAAGATGCGATCTTCAATCTCTTTGAGCTCTTGTTTCATCTTCGCATTGTTAACAATCAACTGATTCTTTGCTTCCTCCAGATCCGGTCTCTCCTCAGCAACTGAAAGCCCGAGTAGTTGATCTTGCAGACCGCTGGCAGAAAGAGTGAAGTTAACAAGAGTCACTTTGGTCGAAACTTCCGGTCTATAATGTGGATTGGGCAGTTTAGTGGTTATATAGAATGCGAAATCGTCGTGATAGGGAATGATGGCATCACCCAACCGAATGACTAGAGCACCTTGTTGCTTAAAGGTCTGCTTAAGTAGAATCGGCTCGAGGGCTGGATCAAGCTCTTCACCGATGTTCTCGAGAAGACAAGGCTTTCCAAATCGAATAGCATTCTCAAGGCTACGCAAGAAATCCTTCTCTGATATTTTTATCACAATCAGACCTCGCTCAGCCTCCATCGCCTTGACCCATTTGTTTGCCTGACCCTGAGGATCGATGAAGAGAGGCCAACGTCGAGAAAACTGTACAATAACAGCATTTTCAATGGACAACATGTCTTTTGGCAAGCCGGCTATGTGCCAGTTACGAATCTTTACTGGATTGCCAAAAGTGTCCACGAGAGTGGGCATCGGCTGCATGGTATGAGGCACTGAGTGAGAGTTCAATTTCTGTATCCATTCGGAAGACATTGCTTGTCTGTACTCCCAGGAGAAGGGTCCCAAATAGGCAACGGAGCCGGCCGAACAGAGAACATTGCCGACCAGATTGTCCAAGAGTTGGTTGAACGAGCTGACTGTCTCTTGCCAACGAGCCTTCTCGTTGATGAGTCCACCGATCAGTTTGTCGGCCCGCAACAGTCTAGCCTCGCATAATTGACTTTTGTCCTCCAACTCCTTTTGCCGACGGATGCATTCATCATATTTGGCCTGCAAATTGACAATCCGCTGTTCGCACGCCTTCAGGCGAGCCCGAGACTCGGACAACATTTGTTCTGTCTCCTCGAGCTCAATTTCAGAGGCTCGCAAGGCTTCTCGTTTTGGCGCCACATTCTGTGCTACCATGTGATACTTGTACATGGCGCGCACCCAGAGACAGATGCTGGTGCAGGCTTTGCTCACTTTGGCAATTGCAGAGGGCGAGAAACTGGCCGATTCTATGTAGGGTCTCATCTTTTGCACTACAGCATCAGGAATGTTTTCTTTGTCGAAATTGAGTAGACTGTCCAAAAACTTGCCCGGATCCTGAAGAAGTGTCTTTCCTGGTTCCCAGTAGTCGTCCACTTTTGTGCCCGGTTTGTCGCCGGGCACTTTCTTTGGCTTTATCTCTTTCAGAATACAGACTGCCTCCATGACAAGACGAACGCCTTCCGGTGGACGCATCATGGCGCGAACTTCGGTGATATCATTTTTATTTAGAGCCTTCAAGGCTTCAACTGATTCGTACAAAGCCGGCAATGCTTCATCCAAATCACGCTGAGCATCGTCGCGAATGATGGCACATTCTTTCGCCTTCTTGACGGCCGATTCCTCTTCGAGGGCAACAACTTTTTGCGTCTCCTCAGCCATTCG